GTCCAAGAGGACCAACAGGAAGGATGAGGGACTCTTCACAGTTTTCCTGCAGGGACTCGCTCCAGAGGCTGAGCAGGGAGTGGGAATCAAACCACTGAAAGGGCCACCTTGTCCACACTGAAAGGTTTGTCATCATCTGTGTCCAATGGCAGAACCAGCATGAGCATCCCAGGAGAGAAGGAGCCAGCCATAGTATACCAGCCATGAAGGTCACCAGGCAAGACCTAGTGCAGAGAGGGCTGTCCCTAGTGGGGCATGGGCCTGGGGCAACCGAATGAGTGGGGCCACTTGAAGGGCTCCACTGTAGGGCATCTTGATGGTCCCTTAGGTTATCGTGAAAAACTGAATTTTTCAAATTAAGTTGTAGTGATGTGTAGGAATGAGGAGTTAAGGTCCAAAGCCTAATAGACTGTCCCCTTTCCTCAGGCACTGGGACTGCTCAAGAGACAGGCCTGATGATGTATCTTTCACCTTCCGCCTTGGATCCTGGAGAAATCATAAAATCAGATCTAGTAAATGGGGCTGGACAGGGAGCTAGGCTGTGGTGAAGATGCTGATCATTACCTTCTCCTTCTACTCTGGTTTTTAAGTTGGAGTTGGGGAAACATGTAAATTAAAAAAAAAAAAAAAAAGGTAGGCCGGGCGCGGTGGCTCAAGCCTGTAATCCCAGCACTTTGGGAGGCCGAGGCGGGCGGATCACGAGGTCAGGAGATCAAGACCATCCTGGCGAACACGGTGAAACCCCGTCTCTACTAAAAATACAAAAAAATTAGCCGGGTGTGGTGGCGGGCGCCTATAGTCCAGCTTCTAGGGAGGCTGAGGCAGGAGAATGGCTTGAACCCAGGAGGCGGCGGAACTTGCAGTGAGCCAGGATCGCGCCGCTGCACTCCAGCCTGGGCGACAGAGCGAGACTCCGTCTCAAAAAAAAAAAAAAAAAAAAGGATTATAGTGTTTTATATTACACTGGACTACAGTTATATGGCAAATAGACTGATCTGGATTTTATTAAAGCTAGGAGCTATTAGGAAATCTGTGAAACCTGCCTACGATTTCATCCAAGGGACAGAAAAAAACCTGATTGTCAGAATGGGGAGTATTGAGAAAAAAATATGATTTTATGATTGTACCCTATGGGGTTCAGCTCCTTTATGGATGTGCTGCATTTTCAGCTATCAACTCTTTATATGGGCTAGTTTTTGTTGTTGTTGTTGTTGTTGTTTACTCTTTGTCCTTCAAGAGGTGGATCTCTATGTTTCAATGTTAGAATTGATGCTAACTTCCGTTCCTGTTCCTATTGCTGTAGGAAAAAAAACTGGATTCTTGTCACATGACCAGGAAAGATTAGACACGCAGACACTTTGAAGGGTGAAGGGTTACAGAATTTATTAGGAGAAAAGGAAAAAGACTCTTTCAGCAAAGCAAGAGGGGTTCCTGTTAACATGCCCCCATCTCACAGACTGAATCCCAGGTTGCCACCCAGGAATAGGAGAGGTCAGGCTCTTCCCGGCTGCAAATGGTGTGAACCTCCCAAGGCCCCACCCCATCCTCCCAGTGCACAGGCCGGTCAGAGGTTCTCTGGGGAGCCCTTTCTCTCACTGTCTCACTATCATTCGAGCCCAAACAGAAAGTAGAGTAAATTTTAGATTCATTAAATCTGGGCAGGAGCAACCCCATGAGCACAGGGTTTAGCTGGGGGAGGGTACTACTGCACTTAATAACAAGGTACCGCTTCCCTAGGGCAGCCTTGACTTGTGCTGGAGTGCAGCACTCGAGGGCTTGCTAGACATGGCTTGTATCTCAGCCTTCAATTGCCTTCATGGCCATCACTGTTCAGTAAACAAACTACAGGGTGCTCTGTAAACCTGCAGCTCCCCCTAGCATGCCCTTTCATGAGAGCAATTGCCCTCATTCGCAGGCATAGTAGCCACACTTCTTTAGGTGGTTGACTCTGTGCAAGAGTGAGCTGGCAGCCAGTGCCCGGCAGTACTGTTCCACGCACTGGGCCTGCTGCATTTCCCTGAATTTCCAGCAGGACTGGTATTTCGTCCTCAGCGACCCTCAGCAGTTCATACCTCCCGTAGTTAGAGCTCTGGGCTCACCTGTATTAATGAGATTCTTCTAGAGGAGTCACTCTCTTAGTTATTGGTTGTTAGTGGTGTAATGCCTCTGTTTAAGAATACTATAAAAAACCTGAAATCTGAATGCTTTCCAACCAGAGATTTATACCCCGAATTAAAATCTTAAACTTAACAAAGCCACATCCTTTAAAAAGCAACCTTCTATAACTCTATAATCCTCAAGGGGAGAGGAAGAACTGATCAAATAAAGATCCCACTGCAAAAAGAATTCTTACTTAATTTAAAGCCTTTCTGAATGAAGAGAATGTGAACATAACAATATGAAAATGGTTGCATTGGAATCTCCATCTGTACATGATGAATATGAGAAAGTAGAGAAGAATTGGAAATGCTTTCTTTCTTTTTACTAAAATGACCTTCTTATTTTTTATTTTATTTTATTTTTATTTTTATTTTTTTGAGATAGAATGTTGCTCTGTTGCCCAGGCTGGAGTGCAGTGGCACGATTTCGGCTCACTGCAACCTCCACCTCCCAGGTTCAAGTGATTTTCCCACCTCAGCCTCCCGAGTGGCTAGGACTACAGGCGCCCACCACCACGCCTGGCTAATTTTTGTATTTTTAGTAGAGACGGGGTTTCACCTTGCTAACCGGGCTGATCTCAAACTCCTGACCTCAGGTGATCCGCCTGCCTCGGCCTCCCAAAGTGTTAGGATTACAGGCATGAGCCACCACTCTCAGCCCTTTTTTATTTTAGAATAATTTTAGTTTTACAGAACAATTAAGATACTATAGCATACCCATTTACCCTGCATCCAGTTTCTCCTATTATTAACATTTACATTAGCATGGCACATTAGTCATTACTAATTAACCAAAATTGATAAGTTTATCATTTTAAAAGTTCATACTTTCTTCTTCTTCTTCTTCTTCTTCTTTTTTTTTTTTTGAGACAGAGTTTCGCTCTTGTTGCCCAGGCTGGAGTGCAATGGCGTGATCTCGGTTCACCACAACCTCCACCTCCTGGGTTCAAGCAATTTTCCTGCCTCAGCCTCTGGAGTAGCTGGAATTAGAGGCATGCACCACCACGCCTGGCTAATTTTGTATTTTTAGTAGAGATGGGGTTTCTCCACATTAGTCAGGCTGGTCTTGAACTCCCAACTTCTGGTGAAAGTTCATACTTTCTTTAGATATACTTAGTTTCCCCCTAATGTCCTTTTTCTGTTCTGGGATCCCATGTAGATACCATATGATATTTAGTTGGCATGTCTCCTTAGGCTCCTCTTGGGAGTGACAGCTTCTCAGACTTCCCTTGGTTTTGATGACCTTGACAGTCTTAAGGGGCACTAGTCAGGTTTTTCATACACTATCACTCAATTGAGGTTTGGTCTAGTGTTTTTCTCGTGATTAGATACCAAGGGTATATACTATAATCTGATTTATGACCATGATGTTAACCTTGATCACCTGGCTCTGGCTGAGGTTGCATTTATCATGTTTCTCCACCATAAAGTTACTCCTTTTTTCTCCTTTCTGTACCATACTTTTTAAAAAGTCACTATACACAGCCTATAGTTAAGGAGCAAGGATTCATGCTCCACCTCTTTAAGGGTGGAGAATCTAGATAACTTATTTGGAATTCTTGGAATCTTGGAATAGATTTGTGTATTCTCTCTTATTTATTTACTCAATCATAAATTTATTTATTTTTAGACTTTGGCTATAATCTAATACTATTTTCTTTATTTTCTTGCTCCAAATTTTCTAGCTTTGGCCACTAGGAGTTCATTCAGTTGACTCTTGGGTCCCTTTGATCACCATCATGGTTTCAGTCTTTCGTGTTTTTAGTTAAAAATTTTTAGCACTTTCTTACTTTCTGGTACTGCAGGATGCTTCAGGGTCATCTTTTGCATTTCCTGCTGAAATCTTCGAGCCATCTATTTCTCCAAGGACCTCTCATTCCTTTTATTGGAGAATCGTATTAGTAATCAAGATCTGGGAGCTAGATGTGCTTGACACTACCAGGCTGTTGTTGCTTCTAGGCCTTCTCTGCTAACAGAGCAAGGAAATGTATGTGTCAAAGTGCTTTCTTTTGAGCAAGTGGGTATGTATATGTTCACACTTTTATATATTCTTAAATCATTTCCACATGAATTTGTGTATCTGTTGAAAGGGGATTCCTCAGTCTGTGGGCTCAGCTCCCTCACTTGAACTGGAGGCCCATTGGGCACCAACTAGATATTCTGTAATACATTTAAGTGAATTAGACAACTTAATGGTTTCTTTTTGTTGGGAGAAAGTTCTCCATGGGTCTTTTGTGTATATATACAACTTGCAAGCAGAGGCACTCTATTCTATTTTATGGATGCTTGTACAGTGAACAACAGCTTTGAAGATAGAGGTTGTCTCCTTCCAGAGTAAAGGGCAGATTCACTTACTGTCCAGTATAATAAAGATAAGGTCTGCCTCTGAGACAAAGTTTGGGCAGGTTTGCTTGCAGCGCATTACAAAAGATTCATGTTCCCTAAGCTCTGGGTCCTCAGTTATGATGCAAACCCTCCGTATGTGCAGCATCCATCTAGGCTGCTCCACTTTGTCCTTGGTAGACTTAGGGCCAACAAGCATCAAGACCAGTATGGAGCTCATTCTGTTTACTGTGCTGTGAGTAGCAAAGTCCTTTGTCTTACCCCAAACCCCAGAAGTCTTGTGTCTTCCGTGAGCATCCCTGAAACAGGCAGGCTGACTTGTTAGCTTACAAGTAGGGTAACATCTCAGACTCTTCTCACAGGTTTTGACACCTTTTACTTAAATTTATATTTAGCTCTACAGGTGGTCTGATATTTCTCAGCTAAATTTAATGTCTCTTTTGAATTACCAATGCTAAAGAATAACTTTTAAAAAGATAAAACTATGACTCTTACATATAATAGAATGAAAACATGTCAAAATTTTATTTAACTCATGAATTAAAGGGGAAATTAGCCAGAGGTCACAACCAGTTCAAAGGAAAGGTCAAAGGCCAATTTATATAAAGCAACATTGAAATTCATTTACCAGTGGACACAAAATTGACTTTTTCCATGGGAGGTGGGGTGGAGCGAGGGTGTGGGGTGAGGTGGAGTCTACTGAACTTCCATCAGTCAGAATTTATTTGCATGTTTATAGACAAGAATTATTCGTATTTATCCACAATCTACAGAGTTCTAAAATAACTCCAAGACAAGAAAAGACAAAGACTCCATAGAAACAAATAACTTAGAAAGGTGTGCTATAAAAAATGCATAGTTTTCCATTGGAGATGCTAAGTAATCATTTTTGCTTATTCAGAAGTCTTAACGTTCACTTACAGCAATAAAATGTACTACAAGAATAATGTTTCCAAGGTTATTGATCAAATGTGTGCAGAAAGAGATCTTAAAAAGTCATTCTAGGCTGGGTGTGGTGGCTCACACCTGTAATCCCAGAACTTTGGGAGGCAGAGGCAGGCAGATCACCTGAGGTCAGGAGTTCAAGACCAGCCTGGCCAACACGGTGAAACTCTACTAAAAATACAAAAATAGCTGTGCGTGGTGGCATGTCCCTGTAATTCCAGCTACTCGGGAGGCTGAGGTGGGAGGATCACTTGAACCTGGGAGGCAGAGGTTGCAGAGCCGTGATCCGGGCCATGGCACTCCAGCCTGGACGACAGAGCAAGACTTTGTCTCAAAAAAAAAAAAAAAAAAAAAAGTCATTCTAGACACCCATACATAAGATATTGGAAGAGGTTCTAATGATCTGATCTGGGAGAGGGATCTGACACAGCAGGAGAAAACTTGCTCACACTCTATTGAGAGGAAGTCCTAAATGGCGTCATTGATTCAGATAGTTCTCTTTATTGACCACTAGGTGTCGCTAAGCAGGCGCGATGACACGTGGCAGGCGGGGAAGGGGCAAAGGCAGCATCATCTAATCCATCAGTGGTGACGTTCAGCAGATTCACAAATGCGGGAGGTTCCTTGGTGGCAAGACATTTTTACCCCTGCACCTATTCAGGCGCCTGGCACATAGTAAGGACTTAATACCACGTTTCTTGAAATGAATTATTCGGAACGCAGGGGTGCTTTTACACGATAAGCATCCAAAAACACTATGAGGTTTCTAAGTGAGGGTTCTTTAAAGCCTTCCGATCATGCTGGGACAGACGGTGAAGACATTCCAAATTAGAAGTCACTTGGTCAGTTAAACAAAGGGAGATACGTTTAACTATGAAATCAGACTTGGTAAATCTATGAGTGGTTTCCATTGACTGTACAGAGGTAGCAAAATACTTGTTTGAGTGCAGATACAGAACATTACCCTTTTATTTGTTCCTGTTTTGCTCAGGTGACATCAAATGTTGATCCCTCTACTCTCAGCCCCCAACACTTTATAATAATTTCTAATTAATTTTGGTGTGATGAGAAACTGATAAGAAACCATCAACGATTTTATGTAATGGATATTAGCATACAATGAAAAGTGAGAAATACAGGGGCAGTGACTGTTGGCTGGAAACACAGCTGGAGGGAAGAGGAGAGGGAATCAGGAAGCTCTCAGAAAAACCCAAGAACAGAACTTCTTTCCCCTAACTTTCCTGGCTCCTCAGATGCCCTCGTGGATGTCTGTCAGTTTTGCCTTTCTCGGGGCCATCACTCGTCTATTGTTAATAGCATCTTGGTTTTACTTTAGGGGACACCCTCCCTTCCCCCATTGAGCATGGTCCTGCAAGGGCTGTCGGTTCACATGTTCCCCCTCCAGATACCCAAGAGAGAAGCTGAGTTAGGCCAATCACAGGCCTGATCCTTGGAGACTATTGCAAAGTGGGAAAACCACTGGCATTCTTTCATCTTGGTGTCTTGCTTCCTGGAACCCCACAACTGCCCTGATTCTGGTCCTTTCAAAGACCCCAGTCTTCATTTTTCCTTCAGTCTGTGGGCCACCCCATTCTCTTCCAGTAAATTCCTATTCGCCTCTATTAGCCAAGTTGTTATCTGTTGATTGCAGTGAAAGAACACTGACGGGTGTAATGAGGAAATTCTAGCCCTACGATTGCTTTTATCATCTCTGTTGAAGTTATCATTGAAAAGGATCAGCTCTAGGATAATGGAGATTTGCCTTGAAGATGAAGAGTAACTAAAATTTACTAGTTATGTTTCAGACACTCTTCTAAATACTTCCATGTGTATCTTATTTAATCTTCAGAATGACCTCATTGGATAAGTGTTATTATCCCCATTTTACAGATGAGAAAACTGAGGCACAAAGTAATTAATGAATTTGCTCATTTTCACAGGGCCAGATTAACGTGTCTCAAAGTTTATTCTATGGAATATTAGTTTTTCAGGATTGTATTGGTTTCCTGGGGCTGCCATAACAAACTACCACAAACTGGTGGCTTAAAACAATGGAAATTTATTGTCTCACAGTTCTGGAGGCCATAAGTCTGAAATCAAGGTGTCGGGAGCACCATGTTCTCTATAGCAGCTCTAGGGAAGAATTGTTGCGTGCCTCTTCCAGCTTCTGGGGGTTGCCGGCCATCCTTGGCGTTCCTTGGCTTGTAAATGCATCACTCTGTTGTCACATGGCTGTTTTCTGTGTGCCCTTTTCTTATAAGGACACCAATCACATTGGATTAAGGGCCCACTTGCTTCAGTATGACCTCATCTTAACTAATTATATCTACAATGACCCTGTTTCCAAACAAGGATGCATTCTGAAGTGCTAAGGGTTAGGACTTCTTTTTTGGGAGATCTAATCCAATCTATGACAAAAAATGTTAATATAAATTGTGCAGAAAAGAATTCTACAGCCAAGTCAGTTTGGGAAACACCATTATAGGACTCTTTGCTGTAGTACTGTGGCGGGGTGAGGGTCTTTAGTTTGTTCATCATTTAGAGGAGTTGCCAACCTGGGACTATTATGTACAGTTTCTCAAAAACCTGTTTGATGATGGACTTCTTTTTATAGGCTGATTGTGGGATCAGCAATCAATGTGGAACACCTGTTCGCATGCCTGACGCGAGGCAGTGGCACCCTAGCATGTCCCTCCCTGGTCTTCTGCTTTCCCCTGTGACCTGCAGCGTCAACTTGAGACAACTTTTCTTCTCTGAGCCTGTGTTTCCTTATCTCTAAGATAAGGAAAATAATATACTTTCCCTATGGGTTTCACGTGTGGACTCCTTTTTGTTGTTGTTTGTTTTGAGACGGAGTCTTGCTCTGTCGCCCAGGCTGGAGTGCAGTGGCATGATCTCGGCTCACTGCAACCTCTGCCTCCCAGGTTCAAGTGATTCTCCTGCCTCAGCCTCCCGAGTAGCTGGGACTACAGGCGCACACCACCATGCCTGGCTAATTTTTATGTTTTTAGTAGAGACAAGGTTTCACCATGTTGGCCAGGCTGGTCTTGAACTCCTGATTCCAAGTGATCCATCCGCCTTGGCCTCCCAAAGTGCTAGGAATACAGGCGTGAGCTACCATGCCCGGCCTATGTGCAGACTAATTTAGTTTTAAATAGGTAGGCTTAGAAACACTTGATACAGGGCTTGGCATAGAGAGAAGCAGGCATTCATTTAGTAGTTAACTTTGTTATGCTAACCAGATGGTTCTGAATTTCTTGGCATTTTTATTAGGCATTTCCAGGATCTCAAGACTAATCCCTAATCAGGACAATTTCCACCAACAAGTTTTTCTTGTTCATCTTCCTCTTCCTTTCATCACTTCTTTTCCTCTTTAAAAGAGTGATTTTCTGTATGGTACTAAGAATTTCCCTTAGGTAAATATTCAACCTAACTGTGGTTTTAATAAGTCTCCAGGATTAGCAAGGAATGGGTGGTTTACTCTGCAGTTCCTTATTCTGATCTTCCACCCCAGTGAGGGGAAGAGGATGTGATCATGCGACCGCCAGCAGAAGGGAAATTGTGAAAGCGACCCACTGTAGAAAAGGCAGCCCACAGCCACCTCAGTATGCAGAGGAAGCCCAGCTGCTGAGAGGAGGTGCCGGAGAGTGACCTTTGCATCTGCCTGTCCAGCCAGCATGGAACCAAAGCGGATCAGAGAGGGCTACCTTGTGAAGAGGGTGAGCAGAGGTGCCACTTACCAGGGTGTCAGTGGACACGGACTGGGGAGGCTTGGGTCCAGCTCCACGGGCTACTTGCTCATTTAGGAGTGTTTCCTGCTCAACCAGTTGGGTTGAAATAGGAGAGCATGGTAGCACATAGAATGTTGGAGTGGGGTTAGGGGAGCGGGGATACTCATCCAGCCCCGGCTTCCTTACAGTTTGATTTTATGGCTCTGAGAATTCCAGATGGCAGGGCCTGGAAGGTGGGGGTCTAAGCTAACTCCCTCCAGATTTAGAATATCCTCCCTCCACATCGGGCACACAGATGTGTTCTGTCAGAAGATACACTCCTCTTCTATAGAGGTTACTTGGAGAAGACTATCCATTTTTTATTGAAATTCCCCTTCCCCTCAGTTGTTTTTTTGGGAGGGAAGGGAGAAAAAGTGATTAAAGAGCTGATATAATGATAGAGTAATTACAGCTTGTTTATTGGGCCGTCTTCTTGGAATTGACAGGTAAAAAATCCTTAGCTTTTTAAAATTGGGCTGAAATCTCTTCACTCACAATTCTTAGTAAATTTGCATAATGTGGCATCGAGGTGGTAGATGCACCATTTTAAAGATTAGTGTACTGAAAAAGGCTTAGCCTCCCTGGCATGCATCAGGAAAATTGAATTTTCTTAGTGTTGGTCTTTCTTCAGATGCTGAGTGTGTGCTGTGTGGTTGTGAAAGCTCCCTGGGATGTGAATTCACACAAAGGACTTGGCGTCCTGTAGGCAACGCCTATGTACACAGATATGCTCACACTAACCTTAATGAGTGGATTGTTTCAGAAATGAGCTGAATGTAGTACCTTCCTTCAGGTGCTTAGCTTTTTAATTGAATGAACAGCGAATGTGTGAGTCTATTTTAGGCTATTCATTTGTTTCATGTTTTAGCCTACAATGATCTACCTGTGAGGGGGGTTAAATAGCACACACTGCTGCCTGCTTCCATTTTGACTTCAGGCTGGAGGGACCCTAGGTCATCTGGCCTAGTTCCTTCATTTGCAGAAGAGGAGACAGACCCTGAAGCCTTGGCGATTGCCCCAAGTCACATGGCTATGACAGTTGTGACCAGCCACTCCTCTGATGCCTAGGTTTCTGATTCATGGCACTGAACTTTGTTCATTACTCTAGCATTTCCTTAAAGCAAATTTATTCCAACTTAGGATTTGTGGTGTATTTGTGATGGTGAGAGCTGAGTTGGTACTGGAGAATAAGTGGGTCCTCAGCTGCTAATCTCTCTAGCCACCTGTACTTTGAAACATCCTTTGGAAAAGACACACATATACATAGAGATGTAAAAGATTCCTTGCAATAGGCACCAATAATAATTGGTGAGACCTAGTAATAATTCATGTTGACTTATTCCTTTCCTGATCACTTGTACTAGTATCCTGAGAAGAGCAAGTGAATGGAAACATTTCTGCAAGTTTTTGTTTGTTTGTTAAACAATTAAAAACATCTTACAATGAAAATTGCTGTTGCCGGGCGCGGTGGCTCAAGCCTGTAATCCCAGCACTTTGGGAGGCCGAGACGGGTGGATCACGAGGTCAGGAGATCGAGACCATCCTGGCTAACACGGTGAAACCCCGTCTCTACTAAAAAATACAAAAAACTAGCCGGGCGTGGTGGTGGGCACCTGTAGTCCCAGCTACTCCGGAGGCTGAGGCAGGAGAATGGCGTAAACCCAGGAGGCGGAGCTTGCTGTGAGCTGAGATCCGGCCACTGCACTCCAGCCTGGGTGACAGAGCGAGACTCCGTCTCAAAAAAAAAGAAAATTGCTGTTACAAAGTTTGTATGCTCGTATTTTAATCTCCCTAAATTACAAAAATATGAAGACTAAATTTCTAATAAGTGAAGCTGTCTCACTAAAAAATGGGGATGATAGAGTCAGGGTTGTCAAGCATGTGGATTTAAATTAATAAATAGTTTTTAATTAGTGAGAGTAGTTCTCTCAGATTGTAAAAGCCAATCTAGAAAATGGGCCTGGAATTAAGTAGTGAAATTTTGTATTGATAGTTTTACAATTCATATCTTCCATAATTTTCATGTTTCCAAGTTACATCTTCCATAATTACTGCATTTTTCTCTGGGGCCTTTTGAACACTCTCTGATACAATGCATTAAGAGTCTCTTTTTATTTTTTTATTCTAAAACTTTTATTTTAGGTTCAGGGGTATCTGTGCAGGCTTGTTATATAGGTAAACTCCTGTGACAGGCATTTGTTGTACAGATTATTTTGTTACCCAAGTACTAAGCCTAGTATCCAATAGTCATTTTTTCTGATCCTCTCCCTTCTCTAACCCTCCACTCTTACATAGCCCCCCGCATCTCATTTGATATTTTTATGAAATGTTTGGTCCAGAAATATTCCCTTTGTCAGCTGCAGAACTAAACCTAAAGACAGAATTTCCCAAGAAGATATTGAAGTTCTTAACTTCTGTAGACATTAAGTTTCCTTTAGTTACCTCATGTGTGAGTTAAAAACTGTATATGTCAGGAATCTGACACATAATTGGTGTACACAAGCTGCATAAGACACTGATTATTTGTATCAGCGTCAGTATACACTTCAGTAGGTGGTGGGGCCTCTCCTAGATGTTAATGGGGATATGTACTGGTTCCTGGGTTGGTTGCCAAATTAATTATGAAGGAAGGGCCATAAAAATCTTTGAAAAGGCTCTTAGAAGCCTTGGCTATGGTTTTTGATGTTAAAGCATGAAAAATAATAATAGCAAATATTCCTTCATTCACCTTTTTCTCTTATGCAGTTCAAGATACCTGGGTAGTAACAGAGAACATCTTTGTCCTGTGTCTTGTTTTATGAAATAATTTTATTGCAGATAAGATGTTTTGGGTGGAAAAAAATACAGCATTAGGAAATGCTGGTGCAGGAATTTTGTCAAGTCAGAAATCTTGGGGTCAATAGTGTTCACTGTAAAATGTTTCTGCTTTTCTTCTGTGCAAGATAACTGTTGACATTTCACAATCCAGGTTTCCTCTTTTGCCTCCTGAATAAGATCTCCAAATAAAGACAGTGGTTAAGAGGGGGAGGGAAAATACACGATTCTGTCATTTTCCAGCTTTTTCATTCCAAGTAATACTCATGTCTCTTTGCCTCAGAGTCTTTCAATTTACTTTTTTTGTTTTAAAAAAGAGCCCTTCTAGCCAACCATGCAGCAGCAAGCTGCTATACAAACATGACTTCATTTCATCCTAACCACCCTCTGTGATCCTCATCTTACAGACAGGAAAACTGAGGCTCACAGAGAATAAGTGACTCGCCCACAGTCAAACATGTGGCAAGAGGATGACCTAGGATTCAAACCCAGGCCTGCCTAACAGCAAAGCCTACCATCTCACGAATCCCAGGCAGCATTCTGAAAGGCAGCTTACCCTGGCCCACAGAAGAAAGGTCAGATGAACTCACTAGAGCCAGAGCGAGGCATGAACAAATTGTTTTGTGGGCAAGATTGGGCTTAATAACCTCAGCCTCCCTTTCTCTCTGTTTAGGGGGTTTCTTTCTGGCCAATAAACATGTTTGGAAGGTCCTCGAATACTTGCTACTGAATTAGATATGTTCATCATCGTAACTGGAAAAAAAATGAGAGAGGAGCAAATTATATGCTCTGCATAACCTAGACTCCTCCAAGTCATGTCTCAAACCAGCCTCGTTCCTAGAGGTTTATGGAGCAAGCTGTTGTTGCCTGGACAACCAAGCTCACAAGCACTTGGTGCAGCGGCACTGACTCAGAAAGTGGCTGAGGGATCTGGATGTCCTTTGAGGCTGGGAGAAAGCAGAGGAATCAGGGTGATGGGAAAGGGAAGGGCAAGCGGCAGGGACAGGAAAGGAAAGGGCTGAAGAAAGTTGTGGTAGAAGTGGAAGAGAGCAGGAGAGTCAGGGTCCTGGCCCAGAAGTTCTTTCCTGCATCTACCTTGTCTTCTAGGCAGGATGAAATAATCTCAAGCGATTTGCACCTACTGATTCATCATTGTAATAGCTAATGCATGTGGTGTTTACCCTGAAGCAGGAAGAGTTCCAAGCATTTCATGCCTTAATGCATTTATACAGCATACTTATGACAACTCAACAAAATGGGGACAATTATTATCCTTACTTAACAAATAAGGAGATTGAGGTACAGAGAGGCAAAGGACCTTGTCCAAAGTCACACAGTTAATAAGTGGAGAGCTGGTTTGCAGTCCAGCAGTGTGGCCCCAGCATTATGCAGAACCTAATCACTTTCTATGTGGCCCTAATGGGCTCCTATTGTAGTGACATTCTTTTCCAAAGCACTGTCACGATGATGAGGGGTATCCAGGGGAATCTTATGCCAGAGCAACTCCACAGTGTTGCCTACAAAACTGTACTATTTTATTTTATTTTATTTTGAGAAGGAGTTTCGCTCTTATTGCCCAGGCTGGAGTGCAATGGTGAGATCTCAGTTCACCGCAACCTCCTCCCCCAAAACCATACTCTTACCTGTCTCTGTGATCGCCATTTTTCAAATGTATACTGCGTGCTGGCCACTGTGGTGAATGCTTTGTATATATTATCTCATTTAATCTTCACAACAATAGGAAGCAGGTACTTTGTTACTTTCATTTTACAGGTGAGGAGACTAATGCTTGGAAAAATTAAGTAACTTGCCTAAGATTACAGAGCCTGGAAGAGGCAAAGTTGAGATCTGAACTTAAATCTAAGGCTCCAGAAATCATGCTGCTAAGCACTCTCGGTGCCATTTCTGTATTGCTTATTTAACATGTTTTCACTGATAAATTTTCCAACCTGGAAGAGTTCACTTATGTAAAAAATACGCTACTGAATAGCCTAGTTCTTTTGCCTTCAGTGAGTTTATATAGGCACAACACAACCATTTGTTTGGGGTGCTATGTCAGTGATTTGATGGATCAGATTGGAAAATTAGATGATGTGATTTGTGTTGTAGCCAACATAAGGGCTTAACTGAATGCAGCATCAACTTAAAATAACATGTCCCATGGGTGTGCAAGAATAGATAATAGTAACTGACAGTTCTGCTTTAGATACGTAGTTTTGATCACAGTGTAATTTTCCTTTGAATTCCAGCCATACGTCAGTATGTGAAAAGAGAAATTTGAGGGAAAGGGAAGGTTAAAAGAGATGTCTTCACTTTGTAGGGAGTGTCTGAGAGGGGTTCTAAACACAAATATCTGATTGCCCCAACCCTCAGCCATTGGTTGTGGCTTCTTTCTGTGATGCTGGGTGTACACAGAAAGGCACACCTCAATTTGTGCATTCATCACACTGACCTGGAGGTCACTGTCTTCCATGTGAGATTGTGAACTATTTGAGAGCTGAGACAGGGTCTTGTTTATTTTTGTTTTTATTTTTATTTTATTTATTTATGTATTTTGAGACAGAGTCTTGCTCTGTAGTCCAGGTTGGAGTGCAATGGTGCAATCTTGCCTCACTCTATTCTCTACCTCCAGGGTTCAAGTGATTCTCTTACCTCAGCCTCCCGAGTAGCTGGGACTATAGGCATGTGCCACCATGCCCGGCTAATTTTTATATTTTTAGAAGAGATGGGGTTTCGCCACGTTGGCCAGGCTGGTCTTGAACTCTTGACCTCAAGTGATCCACCCGCCTTGGCCTCCCAAAGTGCTAGGATTACAGGTGTGAGTCACTGCACCTGGAGTTGCTTAATTTTACACTCCAACAACCAGGCCAGTGTTGAAAGCATAAGAGCCATTCTATCATTATTTGTTGAATGAACATGTCCCAGATAAAGAAATTTGCCTAAAATAGACTTCATAGAGACCAAAGTAACTTCTTAAGTCTTAAGAAAAGTAATTTCAATGGGGGTAGTCAGTTTTAGATGATCATGTAGAATATATTTCAAAGATTTATTATTTTTTTGGCTTTCAAGCAAACCCAAGGATTGGCAGGAACACCTGGAAATAGAAGACTAAAGGGGGAAAAGAGGGACAAAAGGCACCTTGGAATAGATGTGTAGGATCTCAGGGTAGAAAGAGATGTTACAGATTTAATCCAACTTCTCATCTGTGGCTTGCATTTCTTTTATTCATCTGTTAAGAAGCATGCTTGAATACTTCTCTTGTTAGAGAACTCACTAATTAAATTTTCTCCCTTAAGTTATGCAGAAAACTGTTTTCCTGAAACCTCCACCTGCTGGGACTTCAAAATTATCCAGGCGTTCACACCTGCTCTACCTGTTCCTTTATGGGCTAAAACCTAGTCAGTTTCTCCAACAGTTAGAGAGATGATACCATCTTGGTGTTCTGCTTTGAACAGGCTCTGGTTTCTCTGCAGCTTTGAGGTCCCTTGAACTCAGTGTAGGTCTCCAGGGGCATCTG